CCTCTCAGGGAGTTGTAGAGGGCGATATCCCATGCTTAGACGCGCTGGTCCGGCAGGTCGAGTAAAACGTGCCCCGCAGACCACCAGGCCGTGCTCAGCAATGCGTGTGAGCAGCACTGAGCCGCGGTTAGCTGCCCCCAGTTGTCTGGCCCTGTGTCCTGCAGTTTGGGACGTGGGGCACAGCCACAGCTTATCTGCGCACTGCTCTTGCATGGAATTTGTTTGCCCCCATATAGATTTGACCAGCTGTTCAATTTAATCGCTGCAAAGTCATAGCTTCCTGAAAACTTAGCATGAAACTGCATTTTTCAGTTTTACTATGTGCTGTGTTTCTTTTACCTTGTCACCAGCTAGTACCATCTGATGTCTTCTTGTATCTGTGCTGAAAGATACAGTAAATAATTGTCCTCTGTGTACAGTCTCAGAGCCAGTCAAGATATTCTAAAGTTGTGTCAGATGCGCTGACTTCCGTGCAGGAGAGTTCTAGTTCACATAGTTATTTTCATTTGTAAGGTGTTGTGGCTCTGGTTCGTTCGGCCCTTTTCCTCTCAGGTTGAACTTCAGTGCTAGAGCCAGGAGGTCTTGTATTTACTTCAGTTAGAAGTGTGGTGTTTAGGTGTTGCAATGAAAGCCACTGTGAAAGGCTGTTGCTTAAGCTCTGGAGGTGAAGGCTAATATATTGCACATTGATAAATCACCAGAAGCCGCTGGTGCCTTGTAACTGATGACCACTTTCTGACACTAAAGTGTTGGATTCCTGTAGCCACAGTGTCAACATTAAGTGCTAGTAAATCAGAGCTAAAACGAAGAAATAAAAGTGTGTGGACAAACTATATTATTAGAGTTTCTATCTTACAAGTATTAAATTTCGGTTATTTAAACAGTAACTGCAATAATTCTTTTCTAAATTACATTCTTACAAATGGCTGTGCTCACACACTTGTACCTGTACAGTAATTTCTGTCCCATGTTGACATACTGAATGTTTCAGAAGATCAGTTGAAGCTTTCTAGTCCGTAACAATGAGAAAAAACATATGCAGTGCAAACAATGTCTGATATCCTCTGTGGGATACTTAATGTTGTTTTGAGTATCCATAAATAAATGGGTCTTCTAAATACACTGACAAATACTCCTGTTGAGACTGTGGAATTGCTTAACCCTTAATACCTGTGTCATAGCAGTACTTAGAGATTCTACTTGGAGGTTAGTACTGTTCTGCTACATGGGTACTAACTATGGCAAAAGCTTATGCCTGAAAACTGCTTTCTGAAATGTACTGGGATGAGTATATAAGGTATGCAATAGCAAAATTATTTAGGAAACCACATTTTATTCTGTGTGATGAGAAGATTTTTGACTGAAGTAGCAGAGTTGCTCACAGCTGCTTCCATATGGAACAGTTATTTGTATCCGTTGATGATCCTGTGATTATCTGGTCTGTCAGGGTGTGCCCAAGGCTTTTGGGAGTCTGCAGACCCTGACACTACAAAATTAAATTTTGAGAGGAAAACAAGATCTTTACTACAGTTAGTGCTCAAGCATCAGGCCTTTTGTGTTCTGGATATACCTGTTCGTTGGTTTTTTTTTGTGTTGTTTTGTTTCCAGCCCCTTGTTCATTCAGCTGTACTTACACAGGAGTAAGCATCACAAGACATCAGTGTTTTAGCTGCCACATTAAGATGTGTAAATGCTATACAATATGTATGGATATTTTCATGTTTTGGGTGTCCATGTCAAATGGAAACAGTGTTGCAAAATCAGTTATATGTTAGAAAAAGTTTGCATCTTTTTTTTCTTCCTTTCTTATTTTAGAGAGAAATTTATCGCATAAAAGAAATGATTGAGTCAGTCAAATTAAGAAGACAGTGCATGCTGGATTTCTACTCACATTATGAACATCTTTGTGAACGTCAAGGCTCTGTCCCACTGAAAGCTGTGAAGGCTAACCTGTCTCAGGGTGCTCTTGATCTAGTTGTAGATAACATCAAAGCTACTGATTGGGCACCGCTTCTGAATGCTATCAAGCATGATAAAACTCTGACTTCTATTGGAATAAGAAGTTTTCATCAACACAGTCTTGAAGAATCAGGTCTGTAGTGATGGCTATAAAAGATAGATATGTTGACTTTTGCATGTTAGAATTCATTGCATAAAACTTCTATATGACTGAATATGTGGGGGGAGGAATTGTAATGCCTAAGGAATTGTTTCTGTATAAGAAAACATGCAAAAAAGCAAGGTATGTTAATGGTTGCTTTTAAGTCAGTAGGGACTGGATTTTACTGATGTGTAATTTTTGTTGTTTACTAGGTGTTGAAAGATATAAAACTTACTTTAAAAGGACAATTCCATCAATTCCAGCAAAAGACTTGGCTGGCCAACTATGCAAAGCTGTGAAAAGCTGTCTCAGTATATCAGATGCACTAAAAAATTTAGAATTGCAGGGTTTGCTTCTGAGGGAGAAAGATCTAATACATTTAACAAAGGTGAGAATATATTAGTATACAAATAAATGGAAAATATGCCCAGAATAAAGAATATTAGCAACTGAATTTTATAAGTATTTGTCACAGACAAGGATATTTCTCTTATAAGATACCTTTGTTACCTTTCTGTTATCCATCATATGAATGAATCTGCTGAGATGTTTAGTAGAACTTAGTCTTGCCTGAACCTCTCAGAAACACATAACCTTCCCTTGCCCTGGTTCATCCAGGCTTATTAAAAAGATGGTAGCAATATCCCTGCTGTGTGTTTGGGACATGTGACTTATGCTTGTGACTGAAACTGCTGTGCATGCACATGATAGAAGGAAAGTTGTGGGACACCAAAGAAATAAAAACTGGTCTTCAAGATCCATTTTTGGAACACTCCAATTTGCTTGTGAGTGTCTTCTAGGAAAGGAAGTTCCTGCTTGTTGCCCTCCTGTGCTACAGTAATGAACCAGCTTAAACTGAACTTCAGGGTTCGCTGGTTTTGACCTTCCTCTGAACTGCGTGGAATTTCTTGTAGGGAGCACAAAGAGTTTGAGCAAGTTGGGTGACTTGGTCTTTTCTTGGTTTTTTTGCTTTTCAAGTCAGTTAACCGCACTGTTTTATTTTTAAGGGTTTGGCTGCAGCTTCATCTCTGGAGAGTGTCTCTTTAGCCCACAGTCCAATTGGAGATGGAGGATTGGAATGTAAGTTCAGAATCAAAACTGTGTAAATGTAATTCTCTTTCTAGTTTTCAATAGGTAAGCAAGTTTTTCAGTACTTCAGTTCCTGTTTTAAATTTGTCTATAGTGATTAAAGTAACAATCTTCAGTTTATTCCACTTGACTCAACAACATTCAAAGGCTGAAATTTCTTCACTTGAAGAGGGCACAGGCTCAAGCTTTGCCAGGGGAGGTTTAGGTTAGATATTAGGAAGAGATTTTTTACAGAGAGAGTAGTCAGGCGTTGGAATGGACTGCCCAGGGAGGTGGTGTATTCACCATCCCTGGAGGTTTTCAAGATGAGACTGGATGTGGCACTTAGTGCCATGGTCTAGTAACAGTGGTAGGGTTAGACTCAGTGGTCTTTAAGGTTTCTTCCAACTTAGTTGATTCTATGATTCTATGATACGATATTTATACTGTTATTTATAACAGCTGTTATAATATTTGTTAACTCTTTCATGACTTGTTCATATTTCCATGAGTAAACTGAAATAAAACATGTTCTAGCTTGTTCAGATAGTCTTTGCTAAATATTTGCACTAGAAGTGTATAACCTTAGAACATTTTAAATATATTTAAAATATACTTTGTATTTCAACATTAGTTCTTTATCAAAGTTTTGGCCTGTTACAGCTGATTCAGATTCGTATCATGGCAGTAAAAAAGTGTGTTCTGCTAACCTAGAAGTGGTGTGTGTAGATAACATGCATGCTTTTGTCTTCTTCAGTAATCTGTCAGAGTTTAAAGAATTCAGCTGCTATCAGGTCTGTAAACTTCACGGGATGTAGCCTCACATGGCGAGGGGCAGAACATATAGCAAATGTATTAAAGGTAATTTAATCACCTTTCTTAGAACTAAATGTTCACTAGAACTTAACACATTTGGGGTTTTTTTTCTTCTGCTTTCAAGCTCTAAATCTGTTAAAGCACTTTGTGAGGAGCATACATGAATACTGAAGTTAAGTGTGTGAATAGCCCTTCTGAAAGCTGTGACTTTGTATGCCACAGTTAGCTTAGCTTACTGGTGTGGAATTTAAATATGGTATTCCTTAGTAAGCATCAATTAAGCAAGTAACAATTCAGACTGATGTATTTTCTTTAAATAAGGATTAGAGCTGTAAATCTCTGACACTTGTTTTGGGTACCACTTCTTTCTTTGTCACAAGTTTTGAAAAATGTCTCAAGTGTTCTTAAGCATTGGGTAAGAGTAATTGAGTTTACAGTTTAGAAGTTACAATTAACTGATCAGTAAGCTTGTGACTAGTACAGTATTCTAATTAATACTAACAGTGCCTTGCATGAAAACACATCATCTGATAGTATGTATGTATTTCCTATTCAATGTGCATTGAAAATGTCTGCCAAAAGAAGGTAACAAGATGTTTTGTAGCCATGTTTAATAATTTCCATTGCAAATTGGATGATTAGAACAAACATGAATGAACTGTAAGGTTTAAAAATTATATTTCTTGAACTCAGAAATGGTATAACTGAGTTTCTTATACCAGCACTCAAGCCACTGAACATCAATTACAAAGATAATTTGTGATCTTGTCATCAATAATGGCCTTGCCTTTGCATTTGGTAACAGCTTCTTTGTTTGCAAAGCACCAGGCAATGAGAAGACATAGTGAAGCTTGGGCTGAAAGCCTACGTTACAGGAGACCTGACCTTGAGTATATGACAGGCTTGAGGCGAATTACTTTGAACTGCAACGTGCTTGTTGGAGACAGAGGAGCAAGTGCCTTTGCAGACTGTCTAGGAGAGGACCTTTGGCTAAAAGGTACTGCTGAATGTTGACTCTTAAGATATAGTAATGGTAGGCAGAAAACTTAAAATTGTCAGTTATAATAATTGAGGCCAGAAGAGTAACATGTCATGAGGTGGTCCAGAATAACCCCAGGGTCCTGGCATGTTCCTCCTGGCTGTTGCAAAAGTTAACCCTGCCCTGGCCAGAACCAGGACATTATCCACCCCTTATCACATACCATCTCTGTCATGCCCACATCCTACACCTTCCAGATATATATGTATATACACAAGTATGGGTCTCATTCCCTGAATCAACAGCTGTCTGTCCAAAATGTCTGTTGAGTTCATTTACTCCATGACTGTGGGGTCTAGCCATTCTAAATGTCTTTCAGAGTAGGAGGGTGAGTGCACTTTCTGGTGGTTGCAAGCCACATCAGGAGTTCATGACTGGAGTATCTGGAGCAGTCCATACTGATTGTCCATGGGACTTACAGCATACAGTGGCAGTGTCATTCAAGAACCAATATCATACAATTTAACATTACTGACCTCACCCAAAAATCAAATTCCCTAGACCTACAAATGACATCTCCCCATCCTTCTGCATTACCCACTAAGTGCACCCAGGTCCTTGAGCAAAAGCAATCCCATGGATTGGTTTGCCTTTGCTTGAGGCAGGACTAATCCAGGCTGTCTTTCCCACATGCACCATGGGGATTTTATCCCCTTCTACAGTGCTTGGAGGTTTTGATTGGGCAGGGCCAGCTCAATTGGTAGAACCTCTAGTGTTAAGGCCACCAGGTGGCCTTTGCTAAATGTGGACTCCAATGTTTGAAGGTTCCACCTCCCACTGTTTTCAGCGTGGTTTTTAACAGTCTATTGCACCATTCTATTTTCCCCTTTCCTCAGTCTTCTCCCCTTTCTCAAATTTGCCCACATGATGATGTCATCAGTGTATTGTAGGTGTTCTGGATCCTCGCCCCTTTCCAGTGCAGTCTGGATCAGTCCCTGGCAAATAGTGGGGCTGTGTTTCCATCCCTGGGGCAGTTGGTTCCGGCTGTACTGGATGCCCCTCGAGGTGAAAGCAAACTGTGGCCTGCACTCTGCTGTCAAACGAAAGGACAAAAATGCTTTGGCAATGTCACTGGAGGCACCAGTTTGACTCCAGTTTGTACTGAAGTTCCAGTGTGTCTGGAACAGCAGCACTCAAAGCTGGCATGACTTTGTTCAGGCCACAGTAGTCTACTGTCAGTCTGCACTCTCCATTGGACTTATGCACTCGCCTTATAGGGCTATTAAATGATTGAGTCTTGCTGACCACTCTCTGGTTCATCAGTTCACAAATCATCTTACGGATGGGGATCATGGAGTCTCGATTGGTGCAGTATTGCCAACAATGCACTGTTGTGGTGATTGGTTCCTGTTCTTTGTCAGCAGTCCCACAGCAGAAGGGTTCTTTGAGACAGCAGGCAAGGTACTTAGTTATTTAATTCCCTCTATCTCCACAGCGACTATCCCAAAAGACCAATGATACCCTTTTGGGTCTTTGAATTACCTTCTTATGAGATAGTCTATGCCAAAGATGCATGGGGCCTCTGGGCCAGTCACAATGGGGTGTTTTTGCCATTTGTTCCCAGTCAGGCTCCCTTCAGCTTCCAGTACAGTCAGCTTTAGGGTCTCCCTGTTACCCCAGAAATACAAACAGATTCTGCCCCAGTATAACTTGGTGGCATTAGGGTACATTGTGTGCCAGTCTCAACTAAAGCCTTATACTGTTGTGGGTCTGATGTGCCAGGCCATGGGACAGGGCACCTACATCCCTCCACATGGCAGGAGGTGGTAAAGAATAACCCCAGAGTCCTGGCCTGCCCCTCCTGGCTGCTGCAAAAGTTAAGCCTGTCCTGGCTGAAATAAGGACATGATGGAAGAAGATCATGTTAGAGGAGGCTTAAACAAACTAGACGAGGAGCAGTCTTTAGGCCCTGATGCATCCACAAGTGCTGAGGGAGCTGGCTGATGTCATTTTGAGGCCACTCTCAATAGTCCTTGAAAGATCATGGTGACTGGGAGGGGTGCATGAGGACTGGAGGGCAGGTAATGCCACCCCTGTCTTCAAGAAGTATGGGAAGAAGGAGCCAGGAAACTACAGGCCAGTCAACCTTACTGGGATCTCTGAGAAGTCAGGGGTGTCTTGCCATTCAGGGAGACTTCAGCAGGCTGGAGAAATAAGCTGATGGCAACCTCATGGAGTTCAGCAGAAGGAAGTGCAGAGTCCTGCACCTAGGCAGCAATAATCCCATACACCAGGACATGCTGGTGGCTGTGTGGCTGGAGAGCAGCTTTGTAGAAAGGGTCGTGCAGGTCCTGGTGGACAGCAAGTTTTCCATGAGCCAGCAAAGTGCCTTTGTGGCAAAGAAGGCCAATGGTGTCCTGGGGTGCATTAAGCAGAGGCTTCTCTGCAGGTTGATGGAGGTGATTCTTCCTATTTATTCAACACAAGTGAGGCTACATGTAGATTCTCCTGTACAGGAGAGGGGTGGGACTACTGGAGAGAGTCCATTGAAGGGCCACTAAGGTCATAAAGGGACTAGAGCAGCTCTTATTTCAGAAAAGGCTGAGGAAGTTGGGACTGTTTGGCTTGGAGAAGAGAAGGCTCAGGGTGGGGTCTTACCAAGGTATGCAAATAAAAAAAGGTTGTGAAGGAGATGGAGACTCACTCTTTCGAGTGGTGCCTGGAGACAGAGCAAGAGGGAGTGGGTACAGGTTAAAACACTGGAGGTTTCTCCTGAACATCAGGAAACTTTCTTACTGTCACAGTGACTGAACACTCGCAGAGGTTGCAGACACTGGTTGCAGAGTGGTTTATATTATTTCCTTTGCAGTGTTAAGCAGGTATTTCCTTATGTTGATCTATAATACTGATTTAAATTTCTAGTTTTCTTCTCTGAAAGTAATATTCCTGGTTTTATACATGCCTGTTATCATCATGTCCTCTTTTCTGATGCTTTGTGTTCAATGAAATGGAGGTGTTCTGCAAGTGTGGAGTAATTTTATTAGATACTGACTATTAAATTACATTATTAACTAGATGCAATTACTGCACTGATTTTTCTTTTTTTTAATTTTTTTTTACCCCCTTAAACATTTTAGCACTTGACTTGCAGCAGTGTGGAATATCCAATGAGGGAGCAAGGTCATTATTAGATGCTCTTCAAACAAATACAACATTAGTGGTACTTGACTTAAGGAAAAATCCATTAATTGGTATGTATCTGTGTCTGTCTTTGTTCTCTTTGTGTGGTGGGTTTG